CTGACCAGGGTGTGTGTGTGTGTGTGTGTGTGTGTGTGTGTGTGTGTGTGTTGGCGGCAGGAGGTATTGGGAGGGAAGGGATAAAGAGCAGGGCTGCTGTCTCTTAAGGCAGATTCCCAGAACTTAGTCATCAACTAAGGAATACTGAGAAATGTAATATTCATTCTGGGTTCTTCCTTACCCAGTGAAAAATTACCTGCAGGAAGGAGAGGATAGGTACTATGGAACAGCTGTCTGTCTCTTCCCAGGTGATAAAATTAATTGTGTAGAAAGCTTTGAAGAAAAAACCAAAAATGTTAAACAGTTGTAATCTCTAGATAACAAGAACAAAGACAATTAAAAAGTTCTTTTTGGGCCCTGGCTGGGTAGCTCATTGGTTAGAGCATCATCTCACTACACCGAGGTTGCTGGTTCTATCCCCAGGTAGGGCACCTACAAACATCAACCAATGAATGCATGGATGGATGGAACTCTCCCTGCAACCTGAGTACTCTGGCATGTTACTGTATGTGGAGATAGGGCCTTTAGAAGGTGATAAAGTTAAAATGAGGCCATTAAGCTAGGCCCCAATCCATTCTGATCTTTCCTTGTAAGAAGAGAAATTTTGAACACACAAGGAAACACCAGGGAAGCATTTACAGAGGATACGCCATGTGAGAACCCAGTGAGAAGGCGGCCATCTGCAAGCCAAGGAGAAAGGCCTTAGGAGAAACCAAACCCGCCAATGCCTTGATCTTGGACTTCTACACCCTGGAACTGTGAGAAAAACCAGTCTTCTGTTTAAGCTACCGGCCTAGTATACTTCGTTATGGCAGTGCTGGGCGGTGCTGTCCAGCTACTACTGGAACCGGGGAAATCCCAGAGAGCTGCACTTGAACCAGGGTACAGTGGGTGAGCAGGAGTCTACCAGATGGAAAAGAGAAAAAAGCACGTGCTGGGCAAAGAACACATGGGACGACCCAGAGGTATGAGAAGTATTTTCAGGAAAGGATGTCAAAAATAGTGAGGGGTGGGGAGGAAGAGAGAGATTGTGTATGTAGTTATAGGAGACAAACCTGGAAGGTTTGCTCGAGTTCTATCAAAGTAGTTTACAAGGACTAGTGTGCTGGAGGATGTTTGACAGCTGACCCTCTGGGAGGATAGCCCTGAATTATACCACAGCACTTGCCAATGTCTCTGGCATGTATAAATGCTCTCACCTGATTTCAAGCTGTCACCACGACACACTGAACATGGCATTGAGAAGAGTTGCACAGAAACTCATCATTAGTTAGTATTTCTACCATAAGTATATGTACAATGGATATAACTAACCTCGAGTGCATAGATAAGGGTAAAAAAGCACCAGAATAATTTGTAAACCATGAGTGTTGAATATTTTCTATTTTGGGTTTCAACGTCATTTACGTAACTGTAAGTTTATGTAACAATTTTGACTAACGGCTGTGCTTAACAACGGACTCACAGAATTCCGAAAATTTAATCAGCCCTCATGAGTCAGTACTCGCACACTGCTGTTTACACCTACTATTTTGTAAATTATTGCGCTTGCCCTGGGGGAGGGTTAGGACTAAAAATACAAGGTGATACATAGCACATTTTACGGTCTGCTTTCAGAGATGACACACATATACTCAGAAGGAACCTGGGAGGGAATTGCTAAGAAGGTGGAGGATTATGGGAGGAGGAGGAAGCTTCTCCAGAGGACCACTGTGGAAGAGGTCGGGTTAACTGGAACCTTCAAGGAGAGGAGTGAGGGTGATGTTTGGGGTACAGGAGGAAGATCAATATCTCAGGGAGAGAGGAGACTGTGAGATGGGGCCCTGATGAGGGAGGGGGTCTCAAACCGATGCACTCTGCCAGCTCAGCTCCTTCTAAACTGGGAGATCAGCTGATTTGCGCATTTGCTCTGGTAAATGTCCCAGGTTAACTCATTATCTTGAAATCAGAGTATTGCAGCCTTGACATCCAGGTGGATGGGAGCCTTTGGGGGATCTGTGTAAGTCTGTGTAAGGGGGAATTCAGTGGTATATAAGTGTGTTCTCCAGAGAGACATGCCAACGGGAGACAGGAGATATCTATCCACCCATCCATTCATCCATCCATCCATCGAGAGAGAGAGAGAGAGAGAGAGAGAGATTGGTTGATTTTAGTGATTTGGTTCACATGATTGTGGACGTTTGGTAGTCCAAAATCTTCAAAGTAAACTGGCAGGCTGGAAATCCAGGGGAGAGTTGCAGCCTGGGTCCCAGGACAGTCTACTGGCAGAGTTTCTTCTGGCTCAGAGAAGGTCCGTCTTTGTTTTATTAAGTCGTTTAACTGATTGGATGTGCCCCCACCCCCACCCCCATTATGGAGGGTAATCTACTTTACTCAATGTCCAGCGATTTAAATGTTAATCTGTTCCAAAAATCACCTTCACAGAAACACTGAGAATAAGGTTCAACCAGATACCTGGGCACCATGCTGCTGCCAAGTTGACATAAACTTCACCAAGGCAAGTGGGGTATATATTTTTGTGTTTGGCAATGTTTTCTGTTTGTCTTTAAGCGAGTGCTGCCTGCCCAAGTGCTGGAGTTGCTTCAGTGCATATTCCCACCTTGTACATTGCCGACTGTGCTGCGTGGAAACCAGAGATGTGAAATGGGAGGTCTGGTGAAGACATGACCGTGACCCAGCTCCAGCTCCAGAAGAAGAGAGAAAACTGGGGTTTAAAATAAACAAAACAAGTCTACAGAAAGTTCTTCCAAATCTGACAGCTCATATAGAAAAGAAATTTGAATGAAGTCTGCCCAAACTTGCCAACAATCCTAAAAATGTACACGACATTGCCATTATTCCTTGCAAAGTGGAAAGTACACTCCTGCACTATTGATAATAAAAAGCAAAGTTCTATTCATCATGCTAGAACAAGACTAAGTTATCATTCTCATTCCTTCTATTACTGTTATTATAAAACATGCTTTATCATTTGAATAAGTGATTAAGGATTATGCAGCCCACCAAAATGTATGAAAATGTTATTAAAGAAGAGTGTTCATTAATAACAAGCTTTTTAAATTTTTCAATGTGTGACAATTTCTTTGTTCTACAAGATGCTAACTTTTGAGCTAATGTACCTGTAATCATATATTATTTTTAAAAAGAGAGTCCTCCAAATTGCATAGACTCTGGGTCCCCCTAAAGAAGGATCCCTGGGGTTGCTGAGGAGAAGCCATTGAGGAGAGAGAGAAGCCAGGAGGACTCATGGAAACAAGAGAAGGGACTATTCAAGAGAAGGCAGTGGCAGGCTGTGTAGGATGTTCTGGTACTTCAGAGACATCACTGTTAAAAATCTCACACATGCTCATCAGAAGGCTTTCAGGGAGTTGTGAACTGCTCCCTCAAAGGAAAACCTGGGAGTTTGTAAGTGTCCATCTGCATCAGAATTCTTAAGGGATAATGTTGCCAGATTTAGCAACTTAGGATATAGAGGACCCAGTAAACTTGAATTTCAGATAAACCACAAATAAGGGTCTAGTATGAGTATGTCCCATGCAATATTGGCATTTTATCTGGCAGTGCTACCTGGGAGCTTCTTCTGTAATACATATACAGTTGACCCTTGAACAAATGGGTTTGAATTGTGCAGGTTCACTTAAATGCAATTTTTTTCAATAAATACCTGTGCTGTTTTTGACTCTTAATTGGGAATCCACAGCTGTGGAGGGCTGACTGTATGCATTGATCTATGCTATTTTATATAGGACCTGAGTGTCTGAAGGATTTCCTTTTTCTCTCATGAGTGAATGATATTCTCATATGTACATTCCATTATACACATATATGTATATGTAACATCTTTTTATTCATTCATCGACTGATGGACACTTAGGTTGTTTCCAGGCCTTGGCTTTTGTAAATAATGCTACAGTGAACATGGGAAGATAGCTATCTCTTTACCATAGTGTTTTTGTTTCCCTCAGATAAATACCCAGTAGAATTGCTGGATCATACGGGAGTTCCATATTTAAGGCTTTGAGGAACCTCCACACTGTTTTCCACCGTGGCCGCACCCATGTGCAGTCCCACCAGCAGTGCACACGAGTTCCCTCTTCTCCGCATCCTGGCCTGCAGTTGTTATCTCGACTTGCTGATGATTGCCTTTCTATCAGGTGTGAGGTGACAGTTCATTGCAATTTTGTTTGCATTTCCCTGATGATTAGTGATGTTGAAGATTTTTTATTACCTGTTGGACACTTGTATGTCTTCCTTGGAAAAATGTTTATTTGTTTCCTCTGTCCATTTTTAATCTGATTTTTTGTTCCTACCTATTAAGTTTTTTTAGTATGGTAAAATATATATACAACCCCACATTTGCCATTTAAACCATTTTTAAGCATACAATTCAGTGGCATTAAGTACACGTACAATGTTGGATAACCATCACCATTATCCAAAAGTCACCATTTCCAAAATGTTTTCATTCCCTGAGACAGGAATTCTGTAACCGTTAGACAATAACTCCCAGTCACCCTCCTCAGCCCTGGTGACTTCTAGACCACTTACTATCTCTGTGAACTTGTCTATTTTAGATGTTTCATATAACTGGAATCGAAAATCATTTGTCCTTTTTGTAACTGACTTATTTCACTTAGGATAATATTTTTAAGGTTTTATCTATGTTTTAGTATATATCAAAATTCCTACATATGGCTGACTAATATTCCATTCTTTTGTTTACCCATTCATCAACGGACACTTGGGTCGTTTCACCTTTTAACTAATGTAAAGGATGCTGCAAAGGACATTGGTGTACAGGTTATCTGTGTGAGCCCTGTTTTCAATTCTTTTGGCTATAAACCCAGAAGTAGAATTGCTGAATCATATGGTCATTCTGTTTGGCTTTTTGAAGATCTGCCAAGCTCCCTGGGCACTGTTTACAGTCCACCTGTTGTACACAAACAGCCACTGAACTCCAACATAACAGCACCTAGGGCCAACTTCTTGGGCCCTGTGCTCAGGAGGCCCCCATGCTCAGTTTAATTTGCACTGCCACCATCTTGAAACTCTACACAGTCTTAGCTTTGAATTTCTGTTTTGTGACAGTGGAGCATGTGTGTTCTCAGCCATTTCTTGCTGCCCCATTTGCACGCAGTGTTCATACACGCCCGTGAGTGCAGGCTTCTGGAGGACCCTGCATGCACAGGAGTTCAGTGAGGCTCCAGGTGAGTTTAAGGTCGTGTCATCTGTCTGTGGCTGAGGGAAAGGGGGGAGGGGAGTGCTAACCCCAAGTGGACTCACTTCTGTTCAAATCAAAACTTGCTTTGAAGGCAGAAAGCAAGTGATGTTATTTTCAGAGGCATAAACCACCAAGGAACTCTGCCCTATCTTTTCTTATTCATGTTACTTCCCTGTGTTCACCAACCGATTATGCTGAGAGTGATGATGTGGAAGGGACGGGAAACTGAGTGTGGTGCACAGTCACTTTTCATCTCAATCCTTCCTGACTCATCATTAATTCAAAGGTAACATTGTGGTAAAGTGTGTGTGCAGCAGAAGTGAAATTTAAAATGGTTCAGTGTGTCTTGTGCCTCACCCCCCTGTTCTTCTAAGACTAAAATACATATGCTACATGTACAAACAATGAAATATGAATTGCGTAATTCCAGGGATTCTGCATGAGTCAAACATGGTCAAAATAGATATATTCATTTAAAATTGGCATCGAACCACAGAAAGATGGACAGTAAAATTCCCACTAATAATTTAAATTTTATTTTCCTTTATTTAGAATGACATTAAATAGTAACTAACAAACACCATGACAAGCCAAGAGACAGAACACAGAAGAAAGGAAAAAACATTTTATTCTAGTGCTTTAAGTAGCACTTCTCTCTCTCTCTGTCTTTCTCTCCCTATTTCTCTCTCTCTTTTTCTTTTTGAACAAAGGGTCGTGCATTTTCATTTTACACTGGGCCCCATAAATTATGTAGCCAATCCCGACAACCCCCTGTTCTCAGATACTACAGCAGTAGTTTTATGTGCAGTTAGGGGAGTGGGGGAGGGATGAGGTAGATCTCAAGCGCGATCGTGTTATTTTAGGAAGGGTGGAGCTGACCATGATTTGGTGAAGGAATGCACTTGAGAAAATAAGTACACAGATGAAAGAGCTTGGAGACTCGGGCTTTCGTGATATAGTTTCTCAGCCTTCTCAGACCCAAATGAATGACAGGTATGCTACTTTAAAGGAGGAAAGAGAGACAGACAGGCAAACAGTCATACGGACAAGGCCAAGGTCTTCCTTTTCCAGTAAATATAACATGTCACATGAATAAATTTAGAGAATTATAAGTGAAAATAATGATAGGCTCTATATTTTTGACATTGTTATAAAAATAAAGTTTATGTTTTTTTATCCGAAATCAATCTGATGATCTGATGGACATTTAAGAAGACTTTATTTTGGTTGACTGGTCAATAATATAAAAATAAACTCAGTTATCATGCCTTATTCTTTTTCATATTTTTTAACATAACCATTTTATGGAAATTAAAGTAGGCCAATAAATATTAGAAATAATATATGAATCAGAAGCCATAGTTCTGCTGTCCTTTAGCATATTTGAAAAGTTTGTTTTTCTTAAAATGTCCTCTAAAAAATCAAATATTTTGGATTAGTGATATAAAGGTTTTTTCTTTGGAAATTCTAAATATGTATTTCTAGAAAACCTGTTTCTTAAGAGAGAGAGAACTAAAAGAAACAGTGCTATTTCCCCAGTTTCTCTGATGATCTGCTGCTTTTTGTCTCCCACCAATTCAAATAGCCAAGTGACATTTAAAAAAGTAATCGGATGTGTCTAGGCTCTGCCACCAAGCTCATGTTGAGTCAATGACATCTGCCAAGGAGAAAGACTCGCAAAGCCATGCAGCCTCACATTTTAAAGGAAATTGCAGTCAAATTCCCCGAGCACCAGGCAATATCTGGTCTCTACTTAGCTCCTCATGATTTCTTTTATCTCATGTAACCGTTTAGTAAGATATAGGTACTCCTTTTTCAGGTACCATTAATGAGCATATTAATTTACTAACTATTTATTTTATGCCCTGCAAGAAGAAATCTTACATGGTATTAAATACATTTATTGAGCACTTTATTCAATGCCCTGTACCTGGATTGTCTAATTTAATCCTCCCAATAACACACTGAGGTGAGTCCTATTATTATTCCATTTTACAGATGAAGAAACCAAAGATTAGAGATTAAAAAACTCATCCAAACTCACAAAACTTGTAAGTGATAAAGATAAAATTTGAACGGTGGTATTTTGATTCTATAGCCTACCAAACTATGCCATACTTGCTCCTCAAAGAGTCTACTGAAGTAGCACAGTTTGTTCAGTTAATATATAGAGAGTAGATTAGAAAGAGACACTTCTGCATGAATCTCTTGTCCTTCTCCTCACAGGATGACTGCATGCTTGGGCACCTGCTACATTGCATTTTTAAGAAGTAGGTTACCAGAAGGGTGATATTGTAAGATAAGGCAAGTCCAATGTCATTTGTCTCTAATCAGGATGTTTATACTCAAGCTAAAACTGTTGGCAAGAGCTAGAATGCAATGTAATTTCCCTTTGCTGTCCTAGATATAAAGAAAGGGTCTAATAATGCCTAATGTTTTAGGTAGAAAATATAAATTAATATTTATATGAATCTCTGTATAATTTTAGAATCTTTAATAATCAGATGATCTAGGAGTGCTAAGAAAAGGATGTATTGTTCACTACGAATTGGTTAGGATTCCCTAAGTGCAAAATTGCCACACTAAACTGATTTTTTTTAATGCTACTATAATTATACCTGGCAGATGTAGCTCAGGGGATTGAGCATGGGCCTGCGAACCAAAGATTGCTGGTTTGATTCCCAGTCAGGGCACATACCTGGGTTGCAGGCCAGGGCCTCAGTGTAAGTCACGTGAGAGGCAACCGCACATTGATGTTTCTCCCCCCTCTTTCTCCTTCCCTTCCCGTCTCCCTAAAATTTAATAAGTAACATCTTTAAAAAAGTGTTTAAAAGTAAAAAAAAAAACAATCGAATGAAAAGGATACAAGAGTTAAAATGAAAATATTCTGCCAAACTCGACTAAGTACTTTGAAAATTCTATGGCTAATGGCTAAGATGAAGAAACATATTCTGACGGTAATGCATCTATATGTACTATAAAGATTGATGCACTAGAGTTTGTCCTAATAAATTTTTCAAGTCAGTAATTTTGACAAAGACACAGGATACATGTTTGTCAGATTTTAATGATCAAATATGGATTATATATTATGATTGGGTCAAGATTATTAGATATTGGGAAAGTCTTGAAGACTTGGTCACTGTAGAAGAGATGAAGTGTAATGGGAACACATGAGAAATTCTCTGTTCAGATTCCAAAAATAGACTCAGCCATAGAAAGAGTTTGTGTCAGTCAGGATGGGCTAGATTATGTGGCCGAAACAAATCAGCTGCCAAAATTCCACGACTTGGCAACAGGGTTTACTTCTTACTCACCTTTTACATCTGCAGTGAGTCAACGGGGAGCTATTCTCTACGGTTTCTTCCCTCTGGGAACCGGGCTGACGCAGACGCTGTCATCTGATCATTGCTGCTCACCGTGTCAGAGAAAAATCTCTCATTAGCTCTTAAAGCTCTCGGCGAAGTCACACACGTCATCTCACACCACACTGGCCAAGAAAGGCGCAGGTCCACATCTCACCGTGGAACTGGAGGTAAGTGCGCTCCCATCCTGTGCCCAGAAGGAGGAAGTCCCAATGGTCAGACCAGGCACAGCAGCTGTGGATGTGAAAAACAGCACGGGGTTTCGGCTGATGGCACGACTCGGTTGATGAGTGTCGTCTTAGAGGCCCTTGATTGAAGCAGCCGTGGTAGGTTGAGTAACAGCCCCAAAGACATCCACATCCTAGCGCCCAGAGTCTGTGAATGTTGCCTTTTATGGCAAAAGGGACTTCACCACGTCTGTGATTACATTAAGGGTTTTGAGATGGGAAGACATCTGGATAGATTATCTGGGTGGGCCTTGAATATAATCACAAGTGTCCTTATACAAGACGAACACAGAGGGATACTGAAGTGATGAACTTTGAAGATGAAAGAAGGGACCAGCCTTGTTGATACCTTGATTTTAGTCCTTCAACATTTATTTTGTACTTCTAAACTCATGAAATATAAGATAATACATTTGCATTGTTTTAAGCCACTAAGTTCCAGATGAAACAATGATGAGCCATAGCTCATTATAAACAGAGTTGTTGAAGCTGCTAGGGATGTTTAACCTGAAAAATACAATGGAGGCTTTCACACACACACACACACACACACACACACACATATATGTATGTGTATGTATATACATATATATAAAATAAAAGATAATAAATATATATAAGGATTGGCCTGCAGACTTGGGTGAGGCCTGCTTTGCATGGGCACAGAAGCCAGAACTTGGTCAGTGAATGGGGTAGTTACAGGGTTTGGTTCATGACGAGAATGAAGCTTGTTCAACATTAGAACAGACTGTCTTGGTGCTGCCGGATGGAGGCACCAAGATGCCAAGTGACCGCTGCTCAAGGACATTGTCAGAGAATCCTGCACTGGGTAGAAAATTGGGATAAATAACTTCTCAGCTTCCTTCCATGATTGTTTTTTCTCCTGTATCCAGTCCTGATAGTTGCCTGGAGGAGAACACCCAGGCTGGTTCACAGGTGTGGGAGGTCCTGAGGCTGTGTTAACAGGGGGCTCATTGTTGGCTCACTGGTTGGCAAGGGGATTGGTCAAAGGGAATATGTGTAGCTCAGATTAGATGATGTCAATTCGATGTCCGGAGGCAAGAAGGTGCCCAGTCAGAACATCCAGGACTGGCTAGGCAGAAGGCATGGAGAATGGTGCACATGAATAAGGCTTCCCCCTAGATAAACTGAAGCTGAAATTGGTCAAAAGGGGAGGACGGTGAGTTATGGAATAAACCCCATGAATATTGCCATGTATAGTATTTTTAAAGATTCTGGTCATTAAAGGGACCTCACAATCTGGCTTCCTTTTGTAGCTGAATGCTGGTCCAGCTGCCTGCGCTACGAAAGCCAATACTCGAGAGGCAGGTGCAGATGTAAAGCAAAGTGGTTGAATTGCAGGTGCCGGCCACCTGGAAGATGGGGACTCACGTCACAAAACCCATCTCCAAATCTCAGTGCTGGCAGAGGTTTTAATGAGGGAGGGGAGAAAAGAACAAAGAGATCATGGGAGCGGGTGGCAGAGTTCTCTATGTTCAGATGAGTACAGTCCATTCCGATAAGGCAAGTGATGGTCCGGTGTGCGTCATCCTGGTTCAGTCATCCCGGCTTCACATCATCTCAGCTTCACATCATCCTGGCTCCATGGCTGAAGGTCAGCAAGTCCCCTAGAGGTGGGTTGCCTGAAGATTGGGGTTTGCGTATTTTGAAGTTAGTTCCTAGGATACTTATGTAGTATAAACATGCGGTTCATCCACAAGCTATAAGTTAGTCAAAGTCAGCACTTACAGAAATGATGTCAAAAAAATGTGGGATGGGTTACAATTTCCCACTGTTACACTCATCTCTGTATCCCTTCTCATTCTTTTTTACTGACACCGTGTCCTCCAGCCACCCCTTGAGATCATGTTTCTTTGAGCGCCCCCTGCGCCATAATCACCTGGGGTGCTGGTTAATAATGCCAGGGTCACAAAGCTGGAGCCTAAGAACTCAACTCTTAGCCAGCTTCCTACTTGATTTCTTTCCTGCTTAAGGTTTAATATCCAGTGCTTTAAGTATTGAACTCACTGAAATTCTACCCTGATAACATGTCTCTTCTTATTTTTATGCTGTTGCTAGCTCATTACCTAGTATGTAGTGGATAAAATACTGGTGAAATGAAAGAGTAATATCATCTGCCCTGGATGGAGTGACTCAGTGGGTTGAGTGGTTGAGCATCGATGGCCTGCTAACAGAAAGGTCTGGAGTTTGATTCCCCGTTGGGGCACATGCCTGGTTTGTACGTCTGGTCTCCCAGTTCAGGCAACCACACATTGATGTTTCTCTTTCTCTTTCTCCCTCCCTTCCCCTCTCTCTAAAAAATAAAATAAAATAAAAAATTTTAAAAAACGAAAGAATAATATCTAAATTATAGCTTCATCTGTTGCCTCGTGTTGATGGGGACTCCTTAAATCAGATCTCTAGGTCATCTCTCTCCTGAACCCTAGATCAAACGCCCATTTGCCCATTGTACAGGTATCCCAAACTTAACATTTTGCAGAATTGAGCTCGTTATCTTTTCTCTAGAATCCCCTTCCCCTTATCCCTTCTTCAAGTTTTTCCCTAGTTAGCACGATCACCATCTACTCTGTGTTTCTAGGAAAGCAGTTTGAAACCTTCCTTTACTTACTCCATTCCCATTGCAGTACTCAGTAACCCCACATTTTATTATTGCAATATTACCCCAGTTTGTCCTTATTCTTTACCCCACTGTGATTACCTCAGCTCAAATGGTATCTTTTGTTGACTCAAAAACTTCAAGAGCCTCATGATTAACCCTTCAGCTACCAATCTCTTCTCATTCCAGCCATTTTCATCACTGTCACAAGGATCAACGTACTAAAAGTGCATCTGACCCCATCAGTTCCCTCCCCTTTTTCACTTCCGGATTTTCTAGGATGGTGAGCAAAATCCCTTCACAGTCTGTTTTTAGGCTATTCTGGTTTGCTCTCCCCTCCTCCTCTAATCATGAGTTGACCTTCCAGCCCAGTCACATTGAGCCCCTCATGGTTCTGCGCTAAGCCGCCCTTTGACACCTCCATGACTTTAACATGAAGTCCTTTGTCTTCACGGCCCACTCCTCCTTTGCCTGGCACTTGAAGACCAGTTCAAGCAACATCTCCCTTGAATAGGTTCTTAAGAGAGGACGTGCATACTTACCCAGAGCCTTCTGGGTCGCCCAGCATCTGATCTGTTCACGGCTCTGTTATATTGCATGGGTTAGCTATTAGCTACGTATCTTCCTCCCTGCCCCCACAGTAGATTATGACCTTCTTAGAAAAGAGATCATGTCTTTTTCATCTTTGCATTTCCAGTGCCTAGCATAGAGCCTGTTACATACTAGCTGCTAAATCAATATTGACAGAACTAATCAATATTAGAGCAGATTCGAGGAGATGCCCAGGGCGGTTCTACTCTGGAAGGTGTCAGGGAGGCTGCCTTTGGGTGCTCTCCCTGAGTCTCTGGAGTTTATTAAATTTATTCTATTTCTCCTTCCATACTTGGGACAGCTGAGAATTACTGGATCATATTTTTAAAATCTTATCTGAAGACTTATCCTTTCCCAGAAATTTTTATATCTGATGAGAGAGAATCATTTTAAGTCTTGTCCTGAGAGAGAGTCTAGCATAGCAACAGAAGGCCAAGCTATGAATAATTACAAGGGATGATGAAAGTGCTTATTCAGTATAGTTAACAATTAACTACGACTATCAGTATGAATTAAGACTGGGGGATGCAACTGCCGAAACTTCCTCCCGGTTTTACAAGACTCTTCCTGTGCCCAGTGGGAGGCCGTGGCCCTTGAGACAGGAGTCAAAGGAAGAGAAGCTTCTGCCTGGAGTTGCAGGGCACTGCCACCATTCCGATGGCAACTGAAAAACCTGGTCTTGGAAAAGAGGAAGTAGTGAATTCAAAGCACAGAATCTCTCTCTTATCTATTTCTTCAGGCCGTGGATAATAAATAATAAAGACCAGCCAAAAAAAAATGACCAGCAACACAGGCCGAGCCGCATGCCCTTGCTTTCTGTTGGAATGTGCAGGGACGTGGAGGACCTAAGCCACCGCCTGTGCTGGAACAAAGAAGGTGTGTGTTACCAGCTAGACATCTGACCACGAGAGTCACCATTATCAGGCACAGCTGAGACACAGCTGTAGTTATCCTGCTGGAAACCTGCTGAGTCTTCACTGCCTCTCCCCATTCCTCAAGCCTTCCCCAGAAACAAGGCCCGTAAATCTCCCGGACTTTGTGCCCCCAAATCAGCCATCCCTGATCAGAGGACGTTGTCCTACAAACAGCTACACCCAGGACACCTGGGGCAGGTCAGCAGGGTGACGTACCCTCCCTGGGGGCTTGCTACATACCCTTAAAAACCCTCCTGCCCTTTCTCTTGCAGCTGCTGTCTGCTTGGACTCAGCCTTGCTGATGGTAGGTAATGTCCCGCCTCAGATAAAAGCCCTTCATCTGAACTTTTTGGCTCCTGGTCCTTTCTTGGCCACCTCGGCTACCTAACACTTTCAGGGTGGGGTTGGATGCTAAGAAGAGGAACAGGAGATTCTGGAGTGATTTTGCTCAGCCTCTAAGAATGCTCATCAAGTCTCCCTAGTTTTGGGAGAAGGGGACCAAATGGATAGGTCCAAGGAAAAGATATGGGAAAAGTTGTAGGAGCAAAAGGCCCCACCTTATCACTCCAGAATTTGGCATCGAGCAAAGGATCTCACAGGTTTTCTTATTTTCCAGGGCTCATTGCTGAGCTGTAGGGTCAAGCTGAGTCCTATCGGGGCTACATCCCCAACTGGGTGGAGTCAAACTTGGCCAGATAATTTTATATAAACTCAGACAGGAGACGGAGCCCAGGTGTTTGGTGTCCGATGATTTTATATTTTTGTATTTATATGCTTCCTCATCATGTAATTGTTTTGTAATAAATCATGACTTTAAAAAGTAAAACAACAAAGTTACATGCACATAAAAAGAAGGAAGCCCATAAAAAACCCAATCTCGAGAAAGCCTTTTTTTTTTGATGAGAGAGAGAGAGATCAATTTGTTGTTCCACTTGTTTAAGCATTCACTGGTTCATTCTTTTATGTGCCCTAACTGGGTATGGACCCCACAATGGTGGTGTATTGGGGTGATGCTTCAACCAACAGTTACCTGGCCAGGGCTGAGAAAGCTCTTTTTGGCTTTTCCCTAGGACCCCTTTTATTAGCAAGGATCCCTCCTTACCAATAAAAAACCAGCTCTCCCAGGGACTCAGTCAAGTGACTCATCACCTCGTGAGCTCACTTCTGGGTCAAAGAGCGAAGAGGAAGTCCACTCTTGCTTATCTAACCCTATACCTTTCAGAGACCTGAGGAGTTAGGAAAACTCTTTAGTGAGGGAAAGGGCGAGAAAGGATCCAAAGAAGTACTTATGCAGAATTTTCTCAAGGACAAGCACATCTGAGGAAGGGAGAGAGATCTTTCAAATTGTCCTAGTGGTGTTTCAGCTTCCTCCTTAACCCCGAGAGAGTTGGGATGACTCTCAGCTGAGAGTTGAGTTCTCCCAGTTGCTTTCCTTCCAACATCAGAATCCCTCATTGAAGTTCAGTCCCCATCTCTTCTCTTCTCTTGGATCCTCAGATAATGTTGGTTGCATGTGTCCCTGACTTCACTTTTCCGCTTGGCGGGTGGTAACATTCAGGTATCAAAAGCATTGCACAGAACTGTGCTTGATTCCAGCTACATTTTTCATTTGCATATGACACAAGTCTCCCGTGACTATTTGAAAGTAAATCCTATTAATAGATATAACCATAACATTCTAGCTGTTAGGATTTATATCCTTTACATTTTTCTCCCCCCCCACAAAGTTGCAAAATAGATGCATATGATTTATGTATCCAGAAAAAAATATAATGTGTAAATAAATACAAAGTTCTGAAGAGGATTTAAAAAATATTTATATCCCCTTCCCTCCTTTTACAATGAAATGACAACTGAGTTAATTTCTCCTTCAAAAGTTACTCCCTTCATTGAGGCCAACTGGCTAAGAAGGAAATTTAGAAGGAAAAAGAAAAGGAAATAACTTCATGCGGCTTGTGGTCAGCTTAAGGAATTTGCTGTCACAGAAGGTCAAATGGTCCCATGCAGTGGTGGGATCACGTGAAGGCGTTTTCAGGGCACTACGGCTGGAGGCAGGCAGGGGCCGAGCTCACCATCAGCTGGTCAGAGGGCCCGAGGTGTCCGGTTTCAGGGTGAAGAAGAGTTTCAGCGGAACTAGTAAACAGGAACGTTCCCTGACCTCGATTTGAATATTCAGAACAAGACCCTACTGATAAATTGCTCATTCAGACTGAAGCTACTTTCTGTTTTAGGGTCGTATTTGGCCTTTGGTCTGCCCCCTGGACTCGCACTAATAGGCTGCGTGGCGGTCGTTGCTATTCATGGGTGCACTTGGGCATCGACTGAGTGTAAGGCCCTGTGCCAGGCACTGGCAATGCAACAGCCAGCCAACAGGGAAGAGTTCAAAGCCCACCAAGGAAAACAGATATGTACAATAAATGCAAAATTATACAACAACCCATTAACACTGTCACAATTAAGGATAAAGTGAGACTTCCGCCAAGATGGAGAGGCCATGCTTTCTCACACAACCAAGTTCAGAGACAACGAAATATTAGCAACAGAAACACACAGCCAGAACACAGACAATTGAACTATTTGGAAGTCCAATAACAACGAATTCTTCAGCCTGACCAGTAAGAGGGGTGAAACCAGCAGCTGGCGGAGCAGGGTTGCACAGGAAAACTCAGTCAGAAGGATTCAGGTGCGAGGATCCCAGACGTAGGGTTGCAAAGGGCCGACCCAGTGAGCGACCCAGTGAGCGCGACCCAGTGAGCGACTGGCGGATCCGGCCAGGGTGAAGGGCGGTGGGTTGACTGTGGTGCCGCATTCCTGCGCAGATAGACCGGCGAGGGAGTGGGCAGTGAGATGGGACCGAGCGGGTCCCAGGCGAGAGGCAGCAGAGACGGCTGCCATTTCCCGGCTCTGACCCCGCCCCCACATACAGCATCACAACCCAGCGACCCTGCCCTGGAGGACCCTGCCCCGCCCCTAAGGCTCTGCTCCTCATACTTCATGGGCACGAACAGACCAAAAATGACTCAAGAAGATCTTAAAGCCCCAGAGCCCATAACTCTAAGCGACGAAGAAATAGCAAAACTTTCAGATGCACAGTTCAAAACACTGGTGATCAGGATGCTCACACAACTGGTTGATTTTAGTTACAAATTAGAGGAACATATGAAGGCTAAACTAATTGAAATGAAGGGAATTGCACAGAAAACCAATAGTGATGAAAAGGAGACTGGGACTCAAATCAAGGGAGTGGACCAGAAAGAAGGAAAAAATGACCAAGGAAAATATGAAGAAACAAGAATTCAAAAAAATGAGGAGAGACTTAGGAACCTCCAGGACATCTTTAAACGCTCTAGCATCCGAATTATAGGGGTACCAGAAGGGGGAAAGGAACAGCCACAAGTGGAAAACTTATTTGAACAAATAATAAAGGAGAATTTCCCCAATCTGGCAAAGGAAATAGACTTCTGGGAAATCCAGGAAGCTCAGAGAGTCCCAAAGAAGTTGGACCCAAGAAGAAACACACCAAAGCACATCATAATTACATTAGCCAAGATTAAAATGAAGGAGAGAATCCTAGAAGCAGAAACAGATAAGGGGACAGTCACCTACAAAGGAGTTCCCATCAGACTGTCAGTGGATTTCTCAAAAAAGACCTTCCAGGCAAGAAGGGGCTGGAAAGAAGTATTCCAGGTCATGAAATCCAAAGACCTACAGCCAAGATTACTCTATCCAGCAAAAGTTTCATTTAGAATGGCAGGACAGATAAAGTGCTTCTCAGATAAGATCAAATTTAAGGAGTTCATCATCACCAAGCCCTTATTATATGAAATGTTAAAGGGACTTATCTAAGGAAAAGAAGATAAAAAAATATGAACAGTGAAAGAACAGCAAACTCACAGTTATTAACAACCACATCTAAAACAAAAGCAAGCTAGAAGGACAGCTAGATCAGGAGCAGAACCATAGAAATGAAGATCTCATAGAGGGTTAGCAACAGGGGAGTGGGAGGAGAAGGGGGGAGAAGGTACAAAAAGTAAGTGGCATAGACGGTAGGTAGAAAATAGATAGGGGGGAGGGAAAGAATAGTATGGGAAATACAGAATCCAAAGAACTTGAGACACATGGTCATAAACTAAAGGGGGGGAATGGTAGGGTGGGGGGGTGCAGGGGAATGAAGGGGGGAATAGAACAACTGTAATGGCATAATCAATAAAATAAAAATTAAAAATAAAGGATAAAGTGATGCAGGAACCTAGAGGTGATTGACTTTGCTGAGTTGGGGGTTGGGAAATGTGTTTTCCCAAACTTCCCTAGAGTAAGAATCATCCTTGAACTCTTGCTAAAAAATAAACGGATTACTGGATTTCAACTCAGAGCCAGTGAATGAGAAAGTCCAGGAGAGAGGAGGTCAGGAACTGCATGCCTACCAAATACGTGGGGGACTGTTACCTGAGGGCCATTTGGGAAACTGGGGTGGCCAAGAGCTTGTCAGGTGAAGTGGGAAACAAGGTTCACTCAGAATAAAGAAGCGCTTCTCAACTTCCTGTGTGCATATGATTTGCCCAGGGACATTTTCAAATGCAGACTTAGACTCAGTAGGTCTGGGTTGGACCTGTGATCCCATTTCTAACTAGCTCCTTCTTATTCCAAGGATGCTTGCTGGTCAGCAGACCACACAAGACTTCTCACTGTCTCTACAACAAAGTACAAACACGACTTGTAGCGCATATCCTTCACGACTCAGCCTCTCACCTCTCCTGTCTAATTGCCCATTCCATCCTATATTCTGTTCTGACAAACTGAACTGTGTTTTGTCTACAGATAATTGCAGACATCTTCTCTTCTACTCATCCTCTTTCTCTTTGTTCAACAAACTTCTGGTTCCAGATTTCTATTCTGGGGCATTTTTTAGGCTTCCCCTTAGTTTCCTTCTGGAAACATGGCCCAATGCCTTGCATTGAGCAAGAACAGTGCAGACCTTTTGGACACCTTTGACAATCCAACATGGAGT